AGGAAAGTCATTGGTAGTGTATTTCTTGGATCATTTCTGAGCAGTGTGTACATAGTCATAATTGTGGGACTGCTGATTATCCAGAATATTGGAGCGATGATAAGATAGGAAGCATGTGTGTACATGAGTGTTTGTGCATGTGTGTGTGTGTGTGTGCTCATGATTGTGAGCGTATGGTAATGTGTGTACACGTGGAGTAGAGGTGGCAACCAAAGACCTAAGTCCTTATCTCCCAAATGGAGTCCAATGAAGAGTGCGTAATCTAGTTGCAGTATGAGAAAATAACCCATAAAGCAGCTCAAGGAGTTGCCTATAGACTATAGAAAATGCTGTGCTATAGGGGGTAAGGCAGAGACGACTTTTATGAAAATAGATCTATGAGATTCTTTGGCTATGTCTATGCATATCTTGATAGCATTTAAAATAAAAAGCATCAGGAAATCAACAATCTTTGGCAAAACCTAGGAACTTGTCATTTGACTGATGTTCAGGGGTTGTCTGAATTGTCTGAAGTACAAGGATTGCAGCAAGTTATTTATGAGGCAGCCTGAATCTGCGCACCTTTAAAACCTGGTCAGTGTAGGTCTTTGTGATGGATTGTCCTCAGAAACTGGTTGCAGATGTTAATGATGGATTTGAAAAATTTTTTAATAAATTATATGTTTGATAAATTTAGTATTTACTTGAATGACTCTAATTTAATATCTAATTAAATTAGGCCACCTTATAAATTCCACATTAAAGTACAGTTATTGAATTTGATGAGTTTAGCTATACATAAAAAATAGAAATACTAAGTTTACTTTCAGAGGCTAGCCTTGATATGAAAGTAACTTTTGTCATCTAACTTTCAGTCTCAGGATTAAGAATTTTTTTAGTCACAATGAACTCATTACAGGTGAGTGCTGTTTTGAATGGCATGTTAGACCAAAGCTTCAAAGATCGAGCCATTCAGAAGCACCAAGGACTGAAGCTTGTGACCGCAGTTCTGCAAAACTGGAAGAAGTGTGAATCATGGTGGGCCAAAGATTCTGCACCTGAAAGTAAAATGGCAGTGCTGGCCTTGTTGGCAAAAATTTTACAGGTATTTTGAGAGACAATAAAATGCAGTCATATTGTGTTATTTTGGATTCTATAATATGCATCTTCAAAAATATGTTTGATGTTACCTCAAAAGCTCATTGGTTTGATTAGTAAAAAAATATTGTTAATGAATGACTACTGATGAACTTTAATTTTATAATAATATTTTCTGTTATTATGCATCATTCTCATTTATTATACTTACTGTCATTTCTTATACTTTATCTTTTTAGTGGACCTTTACATGCATTGCCTTAATAGATAGTTTTGAAATGTTTCAGAATAAGGATTATTGAAATATTTTTAAGTTCTAGAACAAATTTATAATCCTGAAATTTAATCATAAAAAATACGTTAAAGGTAATAGAGACGTACATGGAAATGTGACATGTTTTATGTCCCTTCCTTTAGATTGATTCATCTGTATCTTTTAATACAAATCACAGCTCATTCCCTGAAGTCTTTAGAACATACACTAGCCTACTTGCTGATTCCAAGTTGGGTTTACATTTAAAAGTAAGTGATTAAAAAGATTTTTTTTCCTGATTATTATCTGTGTTATTTACTCGTCTATATTTTTGCATACTTGTGATTTAAAAGTTTTCAATTTGCAAAGTTTCAGATATGTGCAAAAGCAGGAAGCCTAGCACAGTAAACTCCCATGTACGTATCGTTAGTCTCAATATCTCAGTAACCAACTGCTGTGAGCTTCACCTTGAAGGAAACCTCTGGCATTTTGTAATCTGCTCTCCAGATACTCTGCCTATTGCTCTTGAAGTATAATCACAATGAGATTATTATATGTGCAAGAGTTAGCTTCTGTGTTTCAACAGATATGATTTAAATGATCTTTTTTGGTAATTGTATAATTAAAACTATTACACATCTTTCTATTTATAAACATTTCTTAAATATCTGGATGATTTCAAGGGCTCAGAACTTAATAACTATGTTAAGGTTGCTAATTTTCAACTCGACGACATTTAATAACAACACTTGTGGCATTGTAGGATTAGCACTGGACTGCGAACCACAAGATTGACAGTTCAAACCTACCACCTACTCCTTGGAAACCCTATACAGGGCCATTATGAGTCTGAACACTGACTCGATGGCACTTAACAATAACAACGACATTCTAATTAGGAGAGAGCTAACCACAGGTTGTTGGTTTAAGTCCATCAGCCGCTCCACTGGAGAGGAGACTTTCTGCTACCACAGAGATTTACAGCCTTGAAAAGGCTATGTTTTGGCACTGTGAGTTGGAACCTACTCCATAACACATAACAGCAACAACATTGTAATTAGAGCTTACGTTCTATTAAAATGTAACCTTCATATGAAAATGATCTTTTTATTGGCTAATGAAATTAATTCTATGGAATTTTTTTACTCTGAATGACTTATCAAGCTTCCCATTTTTCAGTGAGGGGAACTTGGAACTTTCCTGCCCCTTGATGGCAATAGAAATAGCATCTAGTTCCTTATAAGCTCTATGTGAAGATCTGAATTAGTGCCACAAGAATAGGTGTAAACTACCCCATAGGCTATTCAAGATGTTCTTTTCATGCAACTCTTGTTCAGTATCTCTCTACAGGAAGAACTACAGAATGAGCGTGCATTATTTATGTTTATAGAGCCCCCTTAGCTGACTGACCTCTGACTGGAAAGTCAAGTTACAGAATGGCATCTACAGGTTGCAGAATGTAGGGGTTGTTTGTTGTCTTGTGTTGTTTTTTTTTACTTTTTATTCTGATGATGATGTTGTTGTTAAGTGCTACTGAGTAGATTCTGATTTCGTAGCCACTGTGCATAGGGTAACTGAGGAGCAGGTGGTGAGTTTGAACTACCATCCTTGTTCTTAGTAGTTCTGTGCTTTTCCTACAAAATCATGTTGGACTAGGATGCACTCTAGAAGTTATTCTGAAGTCATTCATTGATCCACATAGTGGTTTATTTACAAAGTCTTTAGAATGCAGTAATTTTATTTAGTATGTAAGTTATATAAGCCACAGTGAGTGTTATTTCACATATCAACATTTCTCCACAGGGTCAAGCAATCATTATTCTTCCTTTCTTCACCAATCTTACTGGAAGAAGTCTTGAGGACCTAAAGCAAGCTCTGGAAAAGCTTGTGGTTTCTAATTTTCCTATGAAGTCTGATGAATTTCCCCAGGGAACACTGCGGCATAATAATTATGTGGACTGCATGAAGAAGGTTAGTTTTTTGTAGTACCAAATGAAATGAAAACATTGCTGTGTATTTTTGCTACATTGCTTGATAAAAAGAAGTAAATATCCAGAATCAGGAAAGTATCCTAACTTTTAAGAACTCAATTAAATTCACTTTGAAAGCTGACCATCTGTTATTAAGTGCCGTCAAGTCACTTCATAGCAACCCTGTGTACAACAAAATGAAACTCTGCCTGATCATGCGGTGGCTTCCCAGTTGTTACTAGGTTTGAACCCATTGTTGCCGCCACTATGTCGGTCCATCTTGTCTTCCTCCTTTTCATTGGCCTTCCACTCTATCTTTCCTGATTACATGTCCAAAGTATGAGAGACAAAGTCTCAACATCGCTTCTAAGGAGCAATCCAGCTGTACTTCTTCCAAAATAAATATGTGTGCTTTTCTGGTACTTTCAGTATCCTTCACCAGAACCGTAATTCCAGTGCATCAGTTCTTCCCTGGTTTTCCTTATTCATTGTCCATGTTTTACATGCATATGAGGCAATTGAAAATTTCATGACTTGGGTCAGGCACGTCTCAATCCTCAAAGTGACATCTTTGCTATTTAACATTTGAAAGAGATCTTTTGCAGCAGATTTGCCTAATGAAATACATCATTTGATTTCTTGACTGTTTCATGAATGTTGGTTGTGGGTCCAACTAAAATGAAATCATTGACAACTTCAATCTTTTCTCCATTTATCATGATATTATTTATAGGCCCTGTCATGGGGATTTTTGTTTTGTTTACAATGAGGTGCAATCCATACTTTAATCTTGAGAAAACCAAAAGGGAAGAACACACTCAACTTTTCTCAAGCTGAAAGAACTGAAGAAGAAAAATTCAAGCCTTGGGTTGCAGTATTGAAGGATTCTGTTCTGGTGTGGTGCTGGGCTGTTAACTGCAAGGTCATCAGTTCAAACCTACCAGGTTTTCCTTGGAAACCTTGTACAGTATGGATGAGTTGGTTCCAACTCGACAGTACGGATCAACAATGTAGGTAATACATTGAATGATGCAGAGACATCAAAAGAAGATGGAAGTAATACACAGAGTCACTGTACCAAAAAGAACTGGTTGACATTGAACCCTCTCAGGAGGTAGTAAATGATTAAGAACCAATGGTACTGAAGGACGAGATCCAAGCTGCACTGAAAGCACTGGCAAAATATAAGCTTTAGGAATTGATGTTATTAAAAACGGAATATTTTCAACAAACTAATGCAGAACTGGAGATGCTCATTTGTCTATGCCAAGAAATTTGGAAGTCAGTTATAGAAGCAACCGAGATGACTTAATGTAATATGAGCAATATCATTGATATTGCACGCAAGTAAAATTTTGTTAAAGGTAATTTAAAAATGATTGCAGCAGTACGTCAAGAGGGAACTGTCAGAAACTCTATTCAATCCAAAAGAAAACGAAGGATGTTATTGCTGACTTCAGATGGATCTTGGCTGAAAGCAGAGAATAACAGAAAGATGTGTATTTGTGCTTTAATAACTGTGCAGTGACATTTGGGGGAGCATCATGGATCTATACAATAAGCACTGGACTAGGAACCACAAGGTTGGTGGTTCGAGCCCAGTAGCTGTTCCATGGGAGAAAGATGAGACTTTCTGGTCCCACAAATATGTACAGCCTCAGAAACATTATACAAGGTCACTTTGAGTCAAAACCGATTTGACAGCACTTAACAGTAATGAAAGGCATTTGACTGTGTGGATCATAACTGGATAGCACTGCAAAGAATGGGAATTCCAGAACATTTAATTGTGCTCATGGTACATACACCAAGAGTCAGTTGCTAAATCAGGACAGGGGGATACTGAATGGTTTAAAATTAGGAAAGGTGTGTGTCATGGTTTTACCCTTTCATCATATTTATTCAATCTGTATGCTGAGCAAATATAATCCGAGAAGCCGATTTTGATGGCATTAGGATTAGAGAAACTACCAGCTGCTCCGTGGGAGAAAGATGAGGCTTTCTGCTCCCGTAAAGATTTACAGCCTTGGAAACCCTATACAGGGTCACCATGAGTCGGAACCCACTCCACGGCACGTAACAACAACAACAGCAAGGATTAGAGGAGACTTATTGACAGTTTGCAATATGCTGATGACTCAACTTTGCCTGCTGGAAGAAAAGACTTGAAGTACTTCCTGGTGAAGGTCACCTGTGTAGCCAGATGCTTATCTGAATCCTTTGGAATTCATGTCTTCCCTGCTCTACTTTTTTTGTTTCCCACTGTGTTTTCAGTTAAGATTTACATAGCAGTTTAGATTCCCATTCAACAATGCCTACACATGTTGTTCAGTGATACTGGTTACATTTCCAGCATGAGTGAACATTTTCATTTTGGTTGTTATGTTTCCATAAACATAGTTTCCCTACCCCCTTATATTCTCATCTTTGTTTCAGACTCATTCTTGGCCATTTGATCTCATAAGGGTGATTTTTAAAAGGAGAACAGTACTTAAGGTTGATAATCATTATTTTTTTTTCAACTTTTTATTGTGATTTGAGTGAAGGTTTACAGAGCAGATCATCATCATATACTTTGCTTCATTACATGGTTGCAATCCCCTCCATGTACCAACAGTCAACAGTATTTACCTCTGTTCACTTTGTCTATTGCATTCCGCCCTGTGTCTACCACTACCTTTATCTTTACCTCTATTAATCTCCCTCTTGTTGCATATTGCCTGCCCTGTCAGCAGTCTTAACATGTGTCTGCCCTGTAGCCCATGAATAAGTCCCTCCCCCACCCCATAACCATCATAGATTGTTTTCTTTTATCAAGAAAACCTTTTCTTATTTTTAAACTTTTTACAACATTGGCCTCATACTATATTTGCCCTTTTGTGATTGACTAATTTTGCTCAGCATAGTGTCCTCCAGGTTCAACTATGTTGTGAAGTGTTTCACATTATTTTTCAGTGTTTCATAGCATTCCATTATATGTATGTACCAAAGTTTGTTTAGCCAGTCTTATGTTGCTGGGTATTTTACGCTGTTTCCATCTTTTTGCTATGTGTCTAATAGATAGCGTAATGAAGGATCTTGTTTTCTTGTCCATGCTGCTCTGTATGTTTCTCTTTCTCATTTTTTCATTCATTCTGTCACTAAGCAAACTCATGAAAGCTTATAAGCCAGCTACTTCATGACTTTGTAGCCCCTCCATTTTTGATACCCAATGTCTAAATTTCTTGTCCCTACCAATCCAGTACACTGAGGAAATAAGGTTGTTCCTTGATACAAAGAATCCTTTCATTCCAGTTGGAATCTTGAGTCACTGAATTTGTAGGCAAAAGTCTAGGGTTTCCAAGGAGCTTCTGGTGAGTTTGAACTGCTGACCTCATGGTTCAAACTGACCTTGCAGTGCAGTGCTGTATCCCACAGCAGCACACCAGGATAGCATTTGTTAATTTTCTACAATATTCTGCAATATATTCTCTATTATTAAGAATTGCTAAAAATAAAACATGTTTTTATTACATAAAAATGTTTTTAAAATATTAATGTATTTTTCTAGTTTCTAGATGCATTGGAATTATCTCAGAGTCCTGTGTTGTTACAATTGATGACCGAAATTCTTTGTCGGGAACAACACCATGTTATGGAAGACTTATTTAAATTGACTTTCAAACGGATTGCCATTAGGTAAGCCAGTCTAATCTAGAATCCAAGAACAATATACGTTTTTGTTTTGGGGGTAATTATCTTTTCTGTCCCCAGAAAATTGACTAGAAATAGTACCCAACTGTTTATTGCCAGCTAAGGACTAAATATTTTGGCGTGGTAATTTTTAAAAATTTTATTATTTAAAAAGTTTGCAGAAAAACTTTGTTATAAAAGTTTTCAAGCATAATCAAAGCTAAAGAGAAGAGAAATTAACCCATATACCCGTCCTCCAAAGAGGACAAGCACTAGTCTTCTCAGTGTCTTTGTCTCTTTGGTCTTTTTCTCACCTTTGCTGTTTAATTTGAAGCAAGGAGTCCTGGTGTGGCACTGTAGGCTAATGTGCTGGATTGCAAGGTCAGTTTGAACCACAGGGTCAGCAGTTCAAGCTCACCAGCCACTCCTTAGAAACCCTATACAAGGTCACTATGGGTTGGAACCAACTCGTCAGCGCTTAACAACAACAACAATTTGAAGCAAATCTCTGACACTTTGTCATTTCACCTCTAAATATTTACTTTTGTTGTTAAGTGCCACCAAGTTGGTTCTGACTCATAGTGGCCCTTTATAGGGTTTCCGAGGAGTAGCAGTTAAGTTTGAACTGCTGACCTTATGGTTCACAGTCCAGTGGTGATCCTACAGTGCCACACCAGAAGACCAAATACTTCTACATATATATGTGTAAAAGTTACATTATTTTTTATAGAAACCATTATCAACTGATAAGTGGTACCAATAATACCACATTCACATGTCCCCTAACGTAGTTTCAGAAGTTCTTAAACTTGGATTGTTTGAGTTAGGATCTAAATGAGGTCCAGGAATGGCACTTTCAGTGTTGATTCTCTCCATCTAGAACACTGTCTTTCCTTTCTGTTATTTCCTTTTATTTTTGAAGAAACCTGAACACTTGACCTGTATAATATCTTACATTCTGGATTTATCTGATTATTTCCTATTTTCATTTAACTTGGATCTGTGGCCCCTGTGTTTCTGCGAACAGAACATTAAATCTTACGCTCAGTTATATTTAGGGTCAAATTTGGTAAGACTCCTTAATAGGTGGAGTATGCAGTGTCTCTGTATGATGAACACCGGACTACGAGCCACAAGGTTGGTGGTTTGAGTCTACCAGCTGTTCTGCTGGAGAAAGGTAAGGCTTTCTACTCTTGCAAAGTTAATACAGCTTGAGAGATTTGTGTTGTTATTACTATTGCTAAGTGCTGTCAAGTCAGTTCCTACTCATAGTGACCCTGTATAGAATTTCTAAGGAGTGGCTGGTAAATTTGAACCACTGATCTTGTGGTTCAAACCAACCTTGCAGAGTCCCCAGGTCTCCCCACACTTCGGACTAACCAGACCTTCTTCCTCTCTCTCTTATATCAAGGTCGACAGGAGACTATGGAATGTGGTCAAACTCAGCCCATATTTTCATTGCTGCCTTTTCCCCATTTCCACTCACAAGGAGACCAACACGGTCACCAGCAAGCTTACATGCCTCCTTGTGTGTTTCCTTTGAGTGTCAGTCTTGGGGTGGGGGTTATCCTAAAAGGACTTGATTGCTTGCCTTGATGGCCCCCTGTCAAACAGCTTGCTTATTTTGGTAGTAGCCAATCAGACTGCCATTTTTGTTTTTTATTTTTCCTGCTGGTCTTTCTTTCAAGAAGTATTTTCTGTTCCTCTAGCCACTCTGGGCTGATCTGTATATCCTTTCAAGTGGGAATGTCCCACCTCAGAAGGTCCTGGATGGAGCTCAAGATTCCACCTCTGGTTCAGTACACTGCAAAGGCTCCACAAGTAGTCTCTTTCACAGGGCAAGTTTTAGAACCTTTTTAGGGATTTCAATCATTTGTAGGCTGAAGACAAGTTTATAAGCTTTCCGTATCATGTTTCTCGATATTCCTTTCTAGCTCACTCAAGTGTATATAAGCATGATATTTTTGTTTTTGTTTTTAAGCTATTTATTATGAATCAAATGAAGGTTTACAGAGTATATCATTAGTTTTACAGTCAGCAAATCATCTACTTTGTTTCATCTCAACGATTGCAGTCCTCCTCCATGTAGCAACAGTTATCCTATTTCCTTCCTATGGTTTTTGTTTTCATTCTACCCTCCCTCCCAACTCTTCTGACCTTTGTCCTTAGGTAAATGTTGCTCTTTTGATCTTGAATGGTTGACCATTCCTTTGTGAACATAGTTAACTAGTGTTTTTGTCCCTTTTATCCAAAGAGCTCTGGTAGTGTAGTGGTTACCAATTGGGCTGTGAACCTCAAAGTTAGCAGTTTGAAACTACCAGCTGCTCTGCAGGAGGAAAAATGAGGCTTTCTGCTTCTGTAAATATTTCCATCCTTGGAAACCCTGTACAGGGTCTCTATGGGTCGGAACCTACTCGACGGCACTTAACAATAACAATTCTTTTTCTTCCTTTTTGGTTTTCTGACTCCAGATGTTTGCATATTTTGTTGTAATGTTTGGCTTTATCTTCTCGAGTAGGCATTCATAAATATTTGTTCAATAACATGAATATTCACATAATTGTTTTCTTTTCTTCCTAGGAGTTCATGTACTACACAAGTAGTCCTTCTGGAAAGTGTCTACAGAATGTTTGGGAGGGATGACCTACTTTCAAATACTACCCGTCAGGCATTTATAGATCGTTGTCTCCTCACTCTGCTGTGGCACTGTACTCTGAATGCTTTGAGAGAATTTTTCAGCAAAATCGTGGTAGATGCCATTGATACGTTGAAATCCAGGTTTACAAAGGTATTGTATATCTATTAAATTAAATATTTTCTTTAATGGGCACATCCCCTTGGCCACTATCATTAGAAATGGCTGCATGTTTTGTAAAGTTATTTTCACTGCTCAAGGAGAATTACCTCAACATTTTGATAACTTTATGGCTACATGAGATCTGTACTACCTTCTCGAGTTGGCTTTAAAATATTACCACAACAGTGTTGATTTAAAACAAATTTATTCTCTCACTGTCCTAGAGACTAGAGTCTGAAATCAGTTTTACTCTGAAAGTCAGGGTACTACTACCCGAATCCTGAGTCTCTTAGGGAGAATTCAGCCTTTCTTCAGCTTTTGGTGGCTGCCAGCTTTCATTGGTTTGTGGCTGCATCACTCTAGTCTTTTGCCTCCACTTGCATATAGCCTCCTCTTTTTATGTCTTTTTAATACCCTTTTATCTCCGTTTTATAAGGTTCCATATGACTGCATTTAAGACCCACCTGGATCTCTCTAACTCTGGATCCTTAATCACATCTGTAAAGTCCTGGGGTTTTTGTTTTGTTTTGTTTTTGTTTTTTTTTTTAGATTTTATTGTGTATTGGCTTTACATCTTTTGGTTGTTTCATTTTACTTCTAAAAGATTTAGATATTAAATTTGACATATTTAATAAAATACTTGTCATGTTTTATAAGACCAAAGATAATTATGTGGTACCTTTTCTTAGATAAATGAATCTACTTTTGATACTCAAATCACCAAGAAGATGGGCTATTATAAGATGCTAGATGTGATGTATTCTCGTCTCCCAAAAGATGATGTTTATTCTAAGGAATCAAAAATCAATCAAGTTTTTCATGGCTCGTGTATTACAGAAGGAAATGAACTCACAAAGACACTTATTAAGTAAGATTTTTACTTAATTTTGAAATATATTTGATTTGTTTATCTATTTTTTTAAGGATGTCTCTTTTTGAAATGTTAAGAGTATTGCTTGTTTCCACTATCTTAGCAATAAACTACTAAGTTAAATATACACCTTAAGTCCAAAGAACTAAAAATCATACCAGAAAATCTTGACTTCAATTCCTTTCTTCATTAGATGGGTGCAGGGAGAATACTTTTCTTCTTGTTGAGATACCTGCCGTATCTATGTCATTGCAACTGCTTAACATAAGCAAAGATACAAAGTTACCGACATCTTCTGCAGCTGAACACATGGATATCTTTTTATTTATTTAGTTTATTGATGTCTTATTTCTATTTCTTGAGATAGGTATGATTGAATCCTTATAAAGCTCAAGAGAAAGCCTCCTGAAATTAAACCATCAAAGAGAGGACTTTCTCCCAAGGGGTTTGTTGTCACGTCTCCATCTAAGGCAAGCTAGAGATAAGTTAGCTAAAGCTACAGAAACCTGAGCGGAGCAGCCTCTCACCACGTGCCATCTATTGAGCTGATTCATCTTCTGGGAGTCTCCACTTGAAACCCTTTTTAGAGAAAGAGGTTAAACCTGTATCGTAACTCATTTGCGTATTTGCTTCCATCTTAGACTCTGATTAACCCAGTATGTTTACTCTGGAAAGTGCAGAGCAGGGGCTTTGATTTTACAGAGGCATTTCAATGACTGATTTAAATTCTATCCCTTCAAATGTATTAAGAGCACATAGAAAGACCGTCTTTCAAAGTATGAGGTTAAGTCGAAAAGTATTGCCACAAAATCATAACACTTTTATTAAACAAAAACAACAGAATGAAGCTACTGTTTCTTAGCATATCCTCCATCTAAGTCTCTATGCTCTTAAGATGATATTTCTAGCTCTGTCCCTTCCTTGAAGAATTCTGCACTCATTGATTTACACCGCATCAAAACAGAAGGTTGGTGATACTCTAAGGACTCAAATTGTATTCCTTTTAGGTGTTCTTAAGTTTGGGGAGCAAAAAAGATGTCTGAAGGGGATAGATCAAGGCTATAGCGTGAATGGGGTAAGGTTTCCCCACAAAGTTCTCATAGGTCAGCCTTTGCTACCCTTTAAGAATATTGTTGTGATGGAAAAAGACTCCTGGACACAACTTTCTTGGTCTTTCCCTCACTAACAGTTTTCAATTTTTTGAAAAATCTCCCTCCTAATAACCCACCCTAATAGTCCTGTGGTTTTCAATAAAGTCTATCATTACCCCTTTGGAATCCTAAAAAACAGTTGCCATTACCTTCTGAACCAACCTCTCTGTCTTGAATGTAACTGGACTAGCAGACCCCCTTGGCAGCCACTGTTTTGATTGGACCTATGTGTGGAAATGTTGGATCAACACTGGACTGCAAACCACAAGGTTGGCAGTTCAGACCCACCACCAGCTGCTCCTCGGAAACCCTATACAGTGTCACTTTGAGTTGGAACTGACTTAATGGCACTTAACAACAGCAGCAACATTTTTTTAAAAGGCACCGTAACAAGACAAAGACACGTACATTACTGAGAGAACTTTCCTGCTGTCAACCACTGATCACAGAAACAGGTTTTTAAAAATATTTTAAAAATAAACCTGTGCATGTATGAACTGGAATCTTAGTAGAAATACTTTTTGACTTAGCCTTATTTATAAAGATTTGGATTTGAGTCATAGGTTACCAAATCTGCCAGTTGCCATAGTTTTGTGTGTTTGTTTTTTTTAAAGTTATTATTGTGAATTGAGTGATAGTTTACATGGCAGAACATCACTCTGTCACTCAACCAAACATATTTTGTTTCATTGCAATGATTACAACCCCCTCCTTGCACCATCCGTTAATAGTATTTGCCTCTGTTCCCTGTTTTTGTTTTATTTTATCTTAATGTACACAAAAACATGCAGGAATATATAGTCTTTTAAACAATCAAAGAGCACAGTTTACAAGCCAACCTCCTGCCCACCAGCACACAGCCTTTCTCTTTCCTTAAGTCTAAAGTCTTCAGCTTCCCTATCTCTCCTTGCCATCAGCTCTATGTGTGTGTGTGTTTTAATTCATAATTTTATTTTAGGATCAGCATTACGGAAAAATCCTTAGCTAGAATTTCAGTCCACCTTGATTTCAATTTCTTCCACCTTCCCACATATCATTTGTTTCTGTTTTCAGTTTTGCTCAATAACATCTCTGTAATCTGTCCTTTTTTTCTCTTTCCACTGACATAGTCAGTGTACCCTTTATATACTCTCTTAGGCCAATACCAAAAATTCCTAACTGAGTCCCTTGTGCTTCCTCTTTCTCTTTTAAGTAGTATTTTGTGTGTTTTAGGTGAAAGTTTATGCAGCAAATCAGATTCCCATATAATAATTTTTATGCAGATTGTTCTATGCCAGTGTTTGAGTTTATACAAAGTGTCAGCATTCTCATTATTTCTATTCTGTTTGTTCTATTCCCGTTGATCTAGCTTCCCTTCTTCTCCTTGTCGTCTCATCTTTGTTTTTGAGTAAATGATGGCTCTTTGGTCTCCTATAGTTAATTATTTAACAGAGCACATTATTCCCAAGTAGTATTTATTTTGTAAATCAGTCTATTAATTGTGTGAATGATTTGACATTTTTTATGCATGTAATTTTCTATGTGTAGATAAGGTAAATGTTTTATTTAAACATTGAACTTTGATAGAATTGTTTAATTTTCATATTACTTTGGGAGAATATATGTAACAAAACATTTGCCATTTTAAACATTTTTATGTATGTAATTCAGACGTTTCTGTGCTGTTCATAAGATTTTCAGTGACTAAATATTCGGAAGTAGTTAGTTTCTCCTTCTTCCTAGTCTGTCTTCATTTGGAAGCTCATCTGAAACCTGACCCTGCTGGTATTTAAAATACCCACGGTATAGCTTCCAGAATCACAGCAACTTACAAGCCACCACAGTACGACAAATGGACACATGAGTGGCACTGGAGGCACTCACTCATCTCTGCCAAGATATTTGGAAGACAACTGTCTGGCCAACTGATTGGAAGAGATCCATGTTTGTGCTCATTCCAAAGAGAGGTGATCCACCAGAATGCGGAAATCATCTGACAGTCTCTTTGATATCCCACGAGAGTAAAGTTTTGCTAAAGGTAATACAATAACTGCTACAAGCATACATTGACAGAGAACTTCGAGAGGTTCAAAGAAGATTCATAAGAGGACATGGAACAAGGTATATCATTGCTGATGTCAGGTGGATCTTGGCTGAAAACAGAGAATACCAGAAAGATGTTTACTTGTGCTTTATTGACTATGCAAAGGCCTTCGATTGTGTATATCATGACAAGCTATGGGCAACATTGTGAACTATGAGTATTCCAGAACATGTAATAGTGCTCATGAAGAACCTGTGCATAGACCAAGAGGCAGTTATTCAAACAGAACATGGAAGCACTGAATGGTTTAAACTTAAGAAAGGTGTGCTACAGTGTTGTGTTCTTTCCCCGTACTTATTCAACCTGTCTGCTGAGCAAATAATCCAAGAAGCTGGGTTATATCAAGAAAAACGTGGCATCAGGATTGGAGGAAGATTCATTAACAACCTGCAATATGCAGATGATACAACCTTGCTTGCTGAAAGTGAAGAGGACTTAAAATATTT